TTTTTTTTTTTTTTACCGGATTTCCAGATGTTCCTGCTCTGCTTTAAGCTTTCCAAAAGCAGCAGAGCAAGAATAAGTGATACATTCCAAAATAACACAGGTTAGGATGGGTGAAGTCACCGTTGTCATGACAAATGGCAACAAAATCCTTTTAAATGTTACTCCTAATCATGTGTTATTTTATTACACATTAGGATGCATTTATTTATGACAGAAAAGAAAAAAGCTTTTTATAAATACATCTGCTCTCAAACGATGGGCTCACTGTGTTTATTTATGTCTTAAAACAAACATCAGTTTAGCTGAGCACTGAAACGTGATGAACTGTGGGATACTGTGGGACATAAATCAAGTGTCTGCCTGTATTTAAAACTGTGCACGTGTGTGATACTAATGACATCATTATGAAATTTAAAAAAGTAAAAATTCCTTAATAAATGGCTAAAAATGTACATTTAAATAGCTATTCCCTGTCTGATATAGCGTGCTTTCCAGTTAATATGTATGTCTCTAGATTGGACGCTGCCAGTGGAGGTAGGTCAGACATGACTAGAACCCCACCTGGATGCTTCCTTGGTGAGGTGTTTAAGGAATGGGAGGAGATCCCGGGGCAGACGTAACACATGCTGAGGGCTGAGGGTGGCACAATCTCTGCCTAGGTCGCTGCCTCTATGGCCCAGACCCCAATAAACACCAAAAAGATTGATTTTCTTATGTTACTTTTATGGAGCCGGATCAGTAGTTGTTGGGTTGTCCATTAAAACAGTGGTTTCACTGTAATATCAAAAAATATTGTCTGTTTGGACATATTTACTTAATTTTATTAGTTCGTATACCATCATAATAGCATTTTAGTTTTCTACCATTAACATAATGTTAATTAACATACCATTAACAGTATGTTTTATGATACTCGCCGTTTTTTGAGCTTGAAATGTCATTTTAATTTGTTACCATCAGGAATATAAAAAATATCACTTTAATATCAAAAGTGGTTTTTTTTTAAAAGTAGCATCATATCCTGGGATGATTTTTTTAATGGATATTAATATTATATTCTGCTTAATATTTTGTATTGTCGACTTAAACCTGTACATGTGTTAGCATAACTTCAGCAGCAAGTACTTTTTTAAATTAAATTTTACTCTGGATGAGAGTCACTTGATTGAAATCTCAAACCGTGTCTCAGTGCACGTGTGAGCGTTGTTTTAAGACTTTAGAAAAGGTGAGCCCATCCTTTCAACTGTCAGTCGAGACCAGGTTCCCTAAAAAGTGAGCCCCTCATGCAAGATTAAAAAATATCGACTGTCTGATTAATAATTTGTCTGGCAGAGCTGGAACGCTTTGACTGTCACAGCTGTCACGTTGACTCAAACCAGCTTGTCATCAATCAGTCTCTGAATTTGATTAGATTTTTTTTATTTTTGGCAGTGAAGGTGTCAGACTGGCCCAGAGGACATGACTCATTTCACCGCTGAGGCCAGACGACAAAAGTGTTATTTTTATGCCTCGATCATTTACCTCAGCGTTACAGCTGCACACGCTGCTGAAGTGGCTCCTGTCAAGGGGATCTGGCTGTTTACTTCTTTTTTCTTAAAATCACCATTCTCCATCACTTTTTCTTTTCTTACTGCAGATTTGTTCCCAGTTTCCCACATGCGCTTTAATAAATCATCTTTGTTGAATGGGAATGCACATTACAGCACTAACCAAACACGCAGACGTTTGATAGACTGCAAACTATTAACTAGATGTAAAGTAAGAACACTTTTTTATCAGTGTTTATCTAGTATTGCATTGCATCAAGTATACTGTGGCTCAGGAATCAAAATGAAAAATAGTCAGTGCTGGAAAGAAAGCCTGCATTTCAGATTCTGCTGATTTTTACTGCTCTCTGCAGCACTGTCCTGTGTGTGTGGACGCAGGCGTCTTCAGTTTATTGTTTCCCTCTTTCTTTCTCAATAAGCAACATTTACGTTGTATGTAAAATATCAAATTGGGCATCCAAAATGGTACATTCATAAAGAAGAAGCACGATAACCACGAAATCAAAGCTGTGGTTTTATCCGGTTCTGTAATTTTACACAGTTCTTGAAGGTTAATTCAGTTATTTCCGCATACAGTTTTAATGATATAATAATTCTATCTATCAAGAAGTTATTAAGCAATAACCAGATGAATGCAGAAACAGGTGACTGCAGAGAGGAGTGAAACACTGTGCTGATTTGCAGCTTCAGGCTGTCTTGCCCTCTGTTGAATCCATTCGGACTGTTGTGTAAAAACACATGTATATTTAGAGTCACAGAAATTACCATAATGACTGTAAAAGTCACAGACAGTACAGTGCATTTTGTGTGCTGTACTGCTGACGCGCCTCTGGGAAACTGTGTTGTTGTGTGTCTGTGGTTTGGACCTACAGTGCACATTCTGTGCTGCTCTTCAGTTCCAACAGTGCATGTGTGAGGAATATTTCTGTGTGTGACTTCAGACTACTTCTTCTTCCAGTTTTAATTCTTTCTCTCTCTCTCTGTCTGTTATGTCTGCTTGTCTCTCTCTGCAGGATAGCTGTGAACAGCTGATGCCACCAGGTGACTGGAAGGTATGAGTAGATGTGTGAGAGAGGAAGCTCGACTTTCTCTCTCCATTACCTTTTTTATCATGTGTTTTGTGGCCTTTTCATCTTTCTTTGTTATTACTTTGTGTCAGCTTACTTGGGTAAACAGTGATGTCTTCCTGAATCAAATGATCCCTTCAAGAGGGAGATGACAATGAAGTATGGAAGTGCCTTCTGGACACTGGCACCAATATATTGCTAAATATTGAAAAAAATCAAATGTATATTGAGCAGTATTGGAACTACTTAGAAGCTACATCTGGCGATGTACTGTGCTTCTTGCTTGGACTGATCTTTTTCTCCTAATCCTGCTAAGTACTGTAAATCCACACTCAAACACACTGCTGCTTGTAAAACTTTTCAAGCTAACCCTCTCTGTCCTTATGGCCAGTGCAATAGCTCAGTAGTTAGCACTAGGTTTGAATGCAGGCCAGAGTGGGACCCTTCTGTGTGTGTTCTCTTTATACTGGCACTGATTAATTCTCCCTGGACCAAGGCTTGCAGGTTGGAGTTGGTCCCCTGACACCTTATGATGGCTGCTAATTGCTCCTAATTCAGTAAATGAGTTTCCATATGGGGATCAGCAAAGAATATCTTATCCTCCTTCAACTCAGCCTGCTTCCTTGTGCAACCTTTGCTCTTAAATATTTGTGTCATTGGTGCTGACTTGGTTTAGCTGAGTAGTTTAGCTCTTAAAATGTGGCCTTAAATATATAAGTTACATTTTGGCTACTTGGTACATAGAACACAGAGCTGACCATAAAGAGGCATCACAGTGTCACAAACATCAAGTAAACAAATGTCTTTTATTTGCAACATATAGAATAACTGCTGTTATCTAAATTTGCACATTTTATGACCTGCATCACATTTGAAGTATTATCATTCCCGGAACGTTTAATTAAACTTTTATTTATACATGTAGTCCCATTGAGACTCAGAGAATACACATTAAAACACAGGAGGGAAGCAAAAGCTAGGATTACAACAGAGCCAACAATAAATCAATAAAACAAACTCACAACGAGGGCTTTTCACAGCAAAAACGACTTTGTCATCAACTTGACAATGAGTTGCTGGGCCATGATTTTTAACTGGACCCAGCTAATTAGCTAATAACACCTGAATAAACCTTCATGAACTGTTACATAATCTGGTGAATAAGCCTTGAGTGGAGCTTCACACTTCACCTCTGCTGGTTTATTTTAATCAAACGTGTGCTGAGCGTCAGACGTTTCACAGAACACGTCTGCTTTACACTTCCACCTGGTGCTTCAGATGATAACGCTGCATTTTAAAGGTTTCTGCCTCACTTATAAAAGTCATTCTTTTCCACGTGATGTGCGATTTCTGTGAAAGTCTGTGTACGATGGGTAGGGTAGGGAAAGTTTTTACTACTTCCTCCATGATCCATCGTGATTGCTCAACTGATAAAGGAGCTCTCACACAGCTTTCTAGTGGTGACACAAAGTACGTCATTATTTTTAAAACATCAGCATTGATACTGGACTGTATGAACATGTGTGTGATCTAAAGATGAAAATGATTTTTAAAGGACTTTACAGTTTGTTATAAAACAGTTTGACTTCAACAAAAATCTGAGTGACAGAATTCAGCATCTAAGATCAAAAGGAAAGCCCCGAAGTAGAGCAAGCCAGGAAAGGCCTCGACCCACTACACGCAGTAGATGTGGGGCAGAAAAACTTGTCGAGGTTCTTTGGCATCACGTTTTGTGGTTTAGTGTTTTTGTGGTCTGTTTGGATCCTTGTCGGTTCACGTTTTAACTGTTTAAAGTCGTTTTATGGCTGCTTTTGTGCTGTTGTTGGGTGTCTTTTTGTGTTTTTTTTGTAGTAGTTTTGCATCCCTTTGCGATTTGTTTGCATAATGCAAACGATCTGCATTATATTGTTTAATTACAGCGCTCATTAATGTAATGGAGGCACATAGTGGCAGCTGATGGGCTGACTCTAATAACAAAACCCCAAGTCTTTCACATTCACAGCTCTGACTGCAGAAACACTGCTAATACACATGTTGTTTTAAATAAGCTTAGTTAATTATTCCCTGAGTAAAAGGAGCTTAAAAGCTTTATTTAAACAGGCTGTCGCAGTGAGATCTTTTTTTCTCAAGCGATAACTGTGCACGGTTTCACAAAAGACAAAATATACAGATGTTCAGAACTTCTTGCGCCTCTTCTTGTTCTTTGTGCTGCTCCCTTTAGGGGACAGGACTGTCTCACCAACCCTCTGCTTCTCACTACATTTATCAATCTTATCTGTCATCTTCCTCTTTTCCTCCTGCCTGGCAGCTCTGTATTCACTGTCCAATATATCCACTATCCCTCCACTGCAAATGCCCAAAACAGTTTAAAGCATCTAATATCCAAGTGAAATAAAATAATGTTGCTTCATTCTGTTTATTTGAACTCCGTTTCTCCAGTTTCAGAGTGAACATGTTAAGAGATACAGCTAGTATTACTGAATCCTTAGAGTTAGCTGTAACTTTTGATAGAAGACTCAGAGACACGTATTTGTGGTTTTGCCTTATAGAATTCAGCATCTCCGTGCTGGGGAAATAGGTTTTGAAGCTGTTTGAGCTACTGTATTTTAATATAACCAGTGATCAGCTGTAACCCAGGAATCTACAGCCATAAATAAACACCAGCTCTTCATCAACAGTTCTAATTTTACGATCGTAAGGTGTTTGGAGATGGACGACGAGCTAAAAAAATCTCAGCTGAATTTGTGAAAATGTGCAGTTGGTTTGATCAGAGTATCGAACAAAGCTTTGCCGGATGAGAGATTCCTGAAATGTGCCAAAAGCAGACTTTAGAATTGTAGGGAAGAGTCACTGGGATTTAAATTACTGTCATTTATGTACAAATGCAGATTATGGTTTTAATAGTAAACAAAATATCAGCGGGCATCTACTCCTTTTTGTCCAAGAAACAATTACAGTGCGTAGGCTGCTGTGAAATCACAATGTGCCATTTTTATTTTTGCACACAAACTGACAGTGGACACTGCGTCTGTAGTCACACAGTAAAGCTGCTCGTATTAAAGGGACGGAAATTTCAAAATGTTATTTTGGTCTATCGGGCTACGGTGTGAATAAGCTGTTGTTCTCTATACAAATAAAAGATTGCATCATAAAAATTCTTCTAGCTGTTGGTAAAAGGAACATTTTCTTCCAGAGGACTGAGGTTTAATCCCAGTTGGTAACATTTTTTTTCTGTTCCCTTTGAGGCTTTTTTCATGTTCACTCACTCTTTGGTTGGGTCGAGGTACTAAAAGTAAGTGTACAAAAACATCATGATTTATATGTTTTGTATTAAAAAAAATATTTTTCTTTTCCTCTAAAGCTGGCAGACTGATTGAATGTAGACCTAATATAGGCGTATAAGAACTGACTGGGTTAAAATTTACATTCATCACATGATGTGAAAACGTCAGTTTATTGTGAAATTTTTGGTAGAAATGCTCATAGACATTCAGATGATTATAGATCAGCACCAAATTTAAATTATGATCTGAAAAAAGACGGGAGGAATCAGAATAGTTGTGCCTGCGTGGGCCTACGAATTGCTGCTGAGATAAAAATGTTTGACGTTTAATGAGCAACATATTGTATTTCATTCCTGCATTTGAAGCCGTTTCTACGTTGATTTTCCCATCGCTGCTCCTCGAAAGCTTGATGGCAGAGACTGTATGTTTAACGCAGACAGCATGATGCAGACTCAGCAGGGAGAGAGTTAATCTCCAGCGGGAAGGGAAAGGGGGGACAAAGTAAAAGAGAAAGGATGGGAAAGCAAAGAGTGGTGTTTACAGTTACTAAGTCAGCATGTCGAGCGCTCTCTCTCAACAGGAAAGGGGGATAGAGTGGGAAAGAAAAGAAGGCAGAAAGGGAGAGGAAAGAGGGAGAACTGAGAGACAGGACTAAATGCAGGGCTGCTAAATGAGAGCGCAGAGAGAAGAGGGGGAGGGCCTGCAGCCAGCTCGATAGTCACTCAGACACCATCCCAGCCATGAGAACATGCACGTATCCCTCGCTCTCTCCACCTTAGCATGCTTCCCTCAAAATGGAGAAATACAGCAACTGTACACAGTATTATTCATTAAAGATGAAGACTGATAACACCAACGATCCTGTTACAGAGCAATACCCTGCAGGGAAACATCAGGTACTAACATTCATGTGGATGTGACTTCGACACGTACCACACGTACTTCAGCAATGTTGCTGAGCATGCACGATTCCATCTATAACAAAAGCTACTCTGAGCTCCGGCAAGCTCTCACAGCAGGACACCACACTTCATCCACAGAGACCTAAAACTGCAGCTCGCAGGATCCAAATATTCTGCTGACAGTGTCCCAGGGCCAGACAGCACAGGACACCCTCAGAGAGTCTTTGTCCATGACCCAAATCTGCCACACCATGCTGGGCAGATGGCTGTATTATTGTAGCTGAGTTTTATGATACACAAGCACACGATTACAGTATCAATACTGTTGTGCATTGAGTTTAAACTCAGTGTACCTTAATTTATTGTGCTTAAAAACAACCCAGGCCTATGTCTCTGCCCTCAGATCATCACCGTGTCCCAGCTGTATGCCCCATCATAAAGTGAGGGAAACAATTATTTTGTTCTCTGCTGAATTTGTAAATTTGCTCACTTACAAATAATTTTTTATTGTAGTTTCAATTTAATT